ACTTGTGGTTAATAAATTTTGTGTCTACTGCTTGCGTGCCAAAACCTATAGAACAACCTTAATATTTAGCGCATATAGATGGCACCTAAGATTTCTTTGTTTTGACTGTTTTATGGCAGTGACTTTATATTCTAAATATACATTCAAGATTGCTAAATGGAATGAAAAATATACAACCTCATGCTGAGTTTGAGTCCGTTTTTCACTAATACAGGGCGCAATACCACTGCAGTATATTCAAAGCATTGTAACGCTGCTAAAAGGCAGTAAGAACAAAGAAATTTCAAAGATTGTTTATCTGCAATAACTGTCAGCCTAGCTCGATTCATGTCGACATGTACTTACCAGACCACATGCGTTAGAGATTGGCTGCTAACAACTCCGAAAGTTTATATAAAAAAAGAGCAAACCAGTGGACTTGAAGGTTTAGTGGTACCGGGCGCCCTCAATTTAGGTGAAACGCGGGTTCGATTTCCGCCTGGAATTGAAAATGAGACTGATTTTGAAAGAGCGAGTATTCCTTATGTAGCATCCACTCTAATGTTACAAGTCACCCCCAGTTGTGTTCTCTGTGAAATGCAATTAATCATATGATAAGATTCATATCACAAGATTGTGGTAAAAAGAATATGAATGCCGTAAACTGCTAAAAGAAAGATTTATAGACCTTACATTCGCTTCCGTTTCATTGACGCTATGCCTATTTCTTTTGCCCGAACTTATCAAAAACTTATTAAGAAGAGTAGAAGAATGCTGGAGAAGTCAGCCATTTTAATGAGATTTTTAAATTGAGTCGCTACTACAAATGAACGCTGGAATTCAAAGCTTCATCTATCGTTGTAACGAATAATGCTCAGCATATAATTTTTGATGACGCATATGGTCCAATACGCCGGACACTTCAAACTGTTCAAGAAACACGATTGGGTTTTTTAGAATGGCATTAGAAACGAAGCCAGGTATTGCAATACCACCTCATTGCATTCCGCCGACAACATGTAACAATTGATGTGCATTAAAAGTGAAAACTGCGCCTGGTCTTATTCGAAACCATGCAAATTTTACTTGATTACCTAAACTTAAATTCGCATTTCGCGCAGTAGTTAGAGATACTCTGCGTTGCACTATGATATATGGTTCGATCCCGCGCTATAGCTTGACCAAGCTTTCAATCCCTAAAGGGTCAGCGAATTGATACTACAGATGTATACGAGGATATCAGCACTGACATGATCCATCGATAGGCCCCTGCGGGTCATTGTAAAGGCCAGAGATAGGTTCAGTCATCTCAAATGAAGAAAAAATTTAAAAAGATTGGATGACGCATATCTAAGGGATTGATCATAGCTGAAAGCTTTATGCTTTCGGTAACATTTCAGTAGTGGGAATCTTTCCTACAATTAAAAGGAGCGACCTTCTCTTTAATTCATGATCGCCTAGCCTTAACATTTCACGAAGAATCGAATAGCAAACTTTACAAAGGTGTTCACTACTGCAGGTCAAGTGATTTCTTCAAACCAATAGTCATAACATCGTTCAGAAACTTCGAATGAGATCATAAAGATTTTTTTATACTGGTATCTGTTCAGGATTGGAGAATGCATCTTGAACAAATGACGAATCTGCAACAGAAAATCTCAGAACTGATAGACTCAGTCACACCGAAGCTAGAATTGGTATGCTGATCACTACAAAAAGAAAAGCATCGATGGCTTTTCCAATTATCTCATTTCAAGGGTTTTGTGACTTGTTCTAGGTTACCAGTGAGGTAGAAAAGTCGCTGGAGCGTATTGAGTCACGGGAACGAACGCTGAATCAACAACTTGGCATGTGGTTGTCACGTTACAAGGAGTCCAAGGATGCGAGGGCTGAGGTTAGAGAGCGCTACAAGTGGGTACAGTAAGACATCTCTCAAAGAGGTTCAAAGTATGAAAGCTAAAAACACGTTATTTTTGAATCTGAACGTCTCTTCATTAACTTTGTAATCCAAATTAATAGTAAAATTTTTGAGTTTTTCAGAGCTGCCTCTGTGGGTGTTACTGAACGAACGGCCGCTTTGCAAAGGATCTCCGAAGACATCGATCAGATTAAAATGCAAATCGAAGAACAAGGAGCGAAGACGAGTGACGGAGGTACAATCTAATAACATGAATCGGATTCCCTGCAGACATAGATTAACGATTTTTGCGAAGAGCACAAGCGCTAGTTGATCACTGCTAACACCATGTTTACCACCATGCTGGAAGAGAAGTGGATCATCATCATAGCTAATGCGAATCATTCTAAGTTCATGTTGCATGTCTCGATGGGCTACGGAACTATTCTGCCACAACGAGCTCTTCACAGAAAAATACTCACCACTGACGACTTTTCCTTCAAAAGTTTTTATTTCCGAAATTATCATAAACCAAAAACTAACTCCTTTTCAAATCCCATTTCTGAATAAATCGAACATCCACATACATCATTTGAATTGATTGTTGCAGCTCCAATGATGAAAGTGAAGCAAGCGTTGCTGAAGATTGAGGAGGACATCCAACGAATGAACGTACAGATTGGAGTTCTGGAGCAGTCATTAATGCAAGCTCAGCTCAGAGAACGTGTCTCCTACGCAACCGAAGCCTATGGGATCGCCTAGTTTGCTGATTCTATGCAAACTTTTGTCTTCAATAGCGCTTTTATTTTTGTTCAAATAAAATCGTTATTGTTTCGTGCTTCTGTACGGTAAGTTTACTTAAAATACAAGATGCAGAGCGAAGTCAATGAGTGTAACGCTAGATTCACTTTATTTTATATTTTGACTTGTTCGAACTTTACCTGTGTCACATTAGCCGGTTAAATTGTCTTGAGGTGAGCATGAATCAGTCTATTCCCCTTTTGCTCAGTGGCTTGGTGAGCTTATTCATAGTTGTGACACGAACATCACCATTTTTTTCTTATTATATTCATTAGCTCAATATTTTCGAAAGGTGATTATCTTTTAGTATCTGTCTAGCCCTCCAACAATAAAATCACGTTTTCAATTCACATGTTCGAGGTTATGACGAAAATTCAAAACGTATGTGCATAAATCATTCTGCCACAGGGTATTCTACTTCTAAATTAAACTGGAACTCTTGATCGCCATAATGATGCAAGAATCACGCATTCAAGCCAACATGGTTTCTATGGGAATAGTATAAAGCAGAAACAACGGCTGCTTTGAGTTTTACATTGACGTCTTTCGGCTCAGGGTAGATCTCTCCAAATAAATTATCCTATTCGGGAGGACGATACAGATCGCTGCGCGACGTGTGAATTATAAGCTGCGCAATTTTTGTTGTTCAATTAGGATTCTCTCCGTCTTGAAAATATTTTGGGGACTCTTGTTTCAAGTTGATGCAGTGCGACTTACGCTACAGGCTTATATGCTTTTGTAGTATACACAAGTCATGTGTTTGGAGAAAAACGCCAGTTTACTAGGCAGTCATACTGTTTTTGGTATTCAGTCGACTGCAATGAGTTCTGCAAAGGATATCAAAATATGAATCGTCAGTGTCAATTTTGATAATTCTCGTTATACGCAATACCCAAAAGTCATTGCAGTCACTCAAAATTACAAAACAATGGTAGTTGGTTAAAAATGATGGTATATACTGCGTGCGATACCAATTCATCAATAACTCTCAACAATTTCTGAATTAACAATGTGGTACTTCATGAGCTGATACCTAAATAGAATTCTAGGACACACTTTATTCTGTCACACAGCATATTCAACGATACCTTTCAAGCACCGATTTTGAGAATCTCGCTCAAAAATAACATGATATGATGACGTATTTTGAGCCTTTCATAAGCTCTGTTATGGTACTTACATATTGCAGGTCACGTATTTCGGCCTAACATCCTCGTCAGCTGTCACGTGGCTTTTCTTTCACTTAGTGCCTCGGGGATCTATCTACCACATAGAGAAATCGACAGTGAACTTTTTGCACTCAACATAATCTGTGACAATCATAAGTCTCGTAATAGACAATCGATCACTCCAAAAAAATGCCGCTGTAATTCTTTCACCGTATGTTGAGTGTAAAAGTTCGTCGTCGATTCCTATAAGTAGGGCATACATCCTGAAGGAGCTGATCGAACGAAAAGACACCGTGCAACTGACAACGCTCTAGAGGCGAAACTCGTGTCTTGCAACTATATAAGTGTATAAAAGGCAAAAAATATGTTATCAGGTCATACTTCATTCAGTCGTTATATATATTGGTTTTCTATATACATTAACTTTTCTATGAGCATTACTCGGTGTTGAACTCTTGGCACTGGACATGTCCACTGATTCTACCCATTCTACGCACTTAGTTGAGGAAAAAGTTCTTAAACACCCAAGAAAAATTTAAATTTTATGTTTGTTTCAGACAATGTGGGTTATTGCTAATTCATTGGAACATCTCAGAAATGTTTCCGCAAATATCCACGGCAACGATATTTCTCGTGCACTAACTTACAGTTTACTCTTCGAGCATCAGCTTTGAGTTTTTATGCTATGGTTGGAGAGCGACAACTTTTGACAAGAAATGTTGCGATGAACATCTGTGGTGCCGACGGTGACGGAACTATGAGCCATGTGATTGCTGCAAAGTGGTACCAACGATTTGAAGTACCCGCCAATGATTCGTCGAAGGAGTGCACCGCAAAAAAGGCTAGAGAAAAACTATTTGATGAAGTGGAGGGAGTCGAGGTCTTACTGCACCCAGTCTACAGTCCAGATACTGTGCATCCGATTATAGTCTTTTCCGCTCGATGAAACATTTCCTGCGTGGACGTGGATTCGAGGCATTTGATAAAGTTGATGAAAATTGTCAGGAGTTTCTTGATTCAAAGTCGAAGGTATGGTATTTTGGGCAAATTCTCAACATTGCAGACGTTGGCGGAAGATCGTGTATGGTGATGGTCTATATTTCAAAGAGTAACTATGGTAAACCCAATAATGTAGAGTGGTGTGCAAAAACATTCGCATCAGCCAGGATTCGAACCCAGATCTTACTCTTTCCGGGAGGATGTGCTTAACCGTTGTACCACCGACGCTCATTTTGCCCTCCACTCTTTCTACGCTGCAACGCGTTATCTGTCGACAGCCAACCGTCTACGATTTGGCCTGGCAGTCACTATTGACATTGAACCCCCTTATGCTGACAGATATTGGGTTTCAATAGTCATCCCTGTATCTCGCTCAAGTTCTAACTTCTCAACTAACTTCAGTGTAACCACGTGCATGTGGTTGTGGCCGTCAAATAAAATATGTTGATTCCTACGAATTATCATTCTCATGTACTGAGAAAAGTCGTATACTTATACATTACGGGAGAACATTATGCGATAATCCAAAAAAGTTTCTAGAAAATAAGTTCTGCATACCTCTCGTGTGTCCATGGTTGTCACACGGAGTTCACTATCTTGAAAGGTGCGCCCTCGGAAAAGGTTAACGAAGAAGCTCCCGAACTTTAAAAAAGGGCAACCTGTGGAAGTCCAGGCAATATTGTACTGTGTGTCTGATCTCACAAAAAAACGCCGTTGATTAAGCGGTGAGTTGTCAAAGAAAATGGTGTCACCCAATTCTACCCTACTCTTTGATGACAATGGGAGGTGCTGGGAATTGATTTTAAGTAGACATATCTATAACATCAGACGATTGATGAGTGAGGAAAGACGCTCTCACTCTCACAGAATAGGCGACATAAATGATCATTGAGGGCTGGAAATTTGTTCATTTATGAAGAAGCTCGCTCTCCCATCAAAAAATACGACTTATTGGGACATATGGAGTTCTTCTCGCTAGAGATAAAGAAATCACTTCGGTAACGTGCTAATCTTCGTGACAATAAGTGTTGTGACTACCCAAATTCTACTGTATGACTATCAAAAACTCGTTGTGTAATTCAGACTACGGACTTATGATCCCAAAAACAAAGCTCATTTTTCTCCTCGCTGCTACAGCGCACTATGGCGCCTTTTCCTAAAAGCAATCCGACAGCTCTAAAATCCCCTTTCTCACGCTATCGAATTACTACTAACAGTTCAGTGGAAGGATCTTTTGACTTTTACATCATCCATGAGCGGTCGGTTGATTTCCTCCCCTACTTCTGCTTTTGTTTTCAGCCTTCATATCATTTCTGAATGCAGAAGTAGGAAGACCGGCCAAGGATCCGTCGCCGAAAATATTCCTTGGAAATGACGTCGCGAAGATCTGAAAACGCCCCTCAAGGCTGCGCCACTAATCCAATGAATATCAAACTGCCTACCAGCAGCAGGCCATCGTAATAGACCAACATCTTGGGTGACTATCGAAAAATAAATGGACGATAAAAAATGCGCTGGATCGAATAACAAATGGACGATAGAATATGCGCTGGGTCCTCACAACTAGTAAAGACAGACCGTCTAAGTATCCAAGTAAGTCCCGTGGAAAAGCAGGAATTACTACATACCGATTGTAAGAAGTAATAATATAACGCAACATGGGTAAGTTGTTACCTAGTGTTGATGTATGAGCGAAGGCATTATGTTGCTGGTTGATGTTGGTGTTTAAGTAATTTTGGCTAGTAGTCTACATTATTAGTGAAAGGTTCCGAAAACCTAAGTAAAGAAAATGTACTCTTTTCGTAGAAAACTCTACAAAATACTGAATTCAAGCTCTATCAAAACTTATGCCGATGATATATACTAAAGCTCTTTCAGGTAAGTCTTTTTTTCAAAACCATTCATTGTGGAAAATGTGTTTCCGAGGCACACTCTTGCAATGTCGTCGAACGAGTTGTGGAAAAAAAGAGTTGAGTATATGTTATTATTTCAAAGACGAGCTTTTCACAATGAAAACTATCCATTTTCTGGTAAATGGGCCTTTTGTTGCGGATTAGAACTTCCTCTCAATAAGAATCTATGTCTGCGCAACGATAAAGTTTCCTCGGAATTCACCATTGAACTGCCAACGAAACCTGTTGTGATTTCCAAACAACGGTCTAAATACAGTGAAGCAAAGCATTTCTAAGTATAGCTCGCTATAGTTTTTTCTTACAAAATAAGTTTACCTGATGATGTCCTTGAGCCTTCGATGCGGTCTGTTATGGCACTTGTACAGTGCAAGACAAGTGTTTCGGCATTACAGCCTCGTCAGTTTCACGGCGCCTTTCATCTAAGCCATCTCCATTTCTTCTTCATTCGATTGCTCTTCTTAACTAGCGAACGATCTACTTGAGTGTTGGTGGTCGACGTTTTGCGCATGCCTTCCTCAGAACCGTGTTATCTAGTCCAGGGACTAAGGAGCAGAAAGTTCTTGTGAGTTTGGGCAGTAACGCCCGACTCATCAGAGCCGCCCACCCCACTACTATTATACTCTACTAAGTAACAAGAACGAAGAGACGTTTGCTAACAGCATGTAAAGCTATGGTCATCACCATCCTGTCGCAATCACGTCCTCCATACCTATTAAGTAGGGTTTAATAGTGGGAAGCGTGGTTCTGCTGAGGTGAGCGATAACGCGGGACGTGCCACTGACGTCGAAAGGATTCAAAAAGGTTTGAACATTTTCGCAGATTGAACTGGACTATCATAAAGAGATTGAGAAGCAGTCGATTGGAAGGTGATGTTTGTAGTAATGGTTCAGTTGACTATTGTATTTGCCATGTGGACGTGTTACCTCAGATTCTAATTACAAGGGTGTCACTAAGAATTGCATCAGTCGGAGAGTAGACCAAAATCTTTTGTACCATTTCAATTTCAAAAAAAATGTGTAAAGTTTCTTGAATGGACGAAGAATTTCTAAATAAATAAAGAAAATGGAGCTCATCTCGAATGCCATGCTGTTTTGAGGAAGTAGCCGGAATCGCTGCGCACAGCGTTATTCGAGAGGAGCGCGATTTTTGTCATTTATTTAAAAAGTTTCCTCCATTTTAAAAAAGTTTTCAGGTTCTTTGTAACGAATTTCTGCGAGGGACTTTGTTTACTGTTCCATATGTACAAGCTACTTTTCTTCCACATAGCCAAATAAACCCGCCATGAAGTTCAAGCATCGACTAGTCACTTTGAGTGCGAAACGTGATCTTCTTTCTGCTTTACAGCGCGTTACAAAAACTTTTTGAAGAAATAATTATACTTAGGAACTGTCGAAATTGAGTTATCGAATGACTCTCAACAATTCAGCGAAAACCCATCCGCAGACTCCAGACGAACAAGCAAGGCAAACTGAGTGTCAAAAATAGTGTTATTTGCTCTGTTACAACTCAATAACAAAAGCTCTACATAAATCATACACATTACTAAAATTGCCGTGATTTAAGCTTTTGATTAAAAGGCTGAAAGTTTTAAGATAATTTTATCCCAGCGAGAAAACACCTTTGGAAAATCATGTACTCAAATGTATACACTCTGTCTCGAAAGCGCTAAGTATGGGCTTATTTCAGAGATGCTGATCTTCAACCCTAACAGTATAAGTGTTTGACCTGGCTGTTGAAGTGATTCCGCGAAACGGCAGCGACATTCTATTGGAGCTCAGCTGTTTGGTGAAGATCGATTGTCTCTTCTGAATGTTATATTTTCTGAAACGTCACAAGTTCCATGAAACACAATAATTCTATATTGTCGTTTTCCTTGTCTAGATTTTATTGATACGTCAGCCAGCGGAATGCAATAGCAATTCTGATTTTATTTTGTTCCACGGCGATCTTTGATGTCGATTTTCTGATGAGTTCGTTTGTGTCACCGATTTGTAATATTCTTGAAAACATATTTCATGGGACTTTTATGATAGGATTACCACTGCATTGTACTTTTCTAGAATGTTTTGCTTCAAGTCAGTTTTCAAATTGCATCTACTTCAAAACTCAGTGTAATTACTGTTTTTCTTCTTTAAGCAAAACACGAGGTGTTACAATGAAATTTATTCACAGCTGACGTTTCGGCATTCGCCTTCTTCAGAGCCTGGAAAGGTCAAATTGTCCGCAATCCAATAAGCCAAACACCTCCAATACTCTTTTAGAAAAAATCACCAGACCTAGAGTTCAATCGCATCAAGCACAAAATCAACTCTCAACATACTCACCGTTTTTATATGTGTTCCACTGAATGATTCAAGTGGAGACAACCGCAAAGAGATCACATAGGCTCGTAATGCACCTTACCCATCAGAATAACAGTCTTATATACTGACTAAAATCATGTGTGATAACAAGGCATTCCTCCCTGCGGTTCATAGTTGGATTGGTGGTATTAATCCAAAGTGTACAGTACACTCAGTACACTCAGTGTACACAGCTTACTCGCTCGACGCTTTCCTCACTGTCAAAATCACTCTGCACGAAAACAGTCCAATATCTGTCAGGTTATGCAAAAGTAATGAAGACTTCAGACCACGAATTTTAACTCATTAAAACTAGGCTCAACGTCCTAATCAGTCGAAATAGGAACCACGTTGGAACTACAATGAACACACGTTTGCCAACAGGCAATAAGTTTGCTTATTCTCGTATAATAGAAATCGGCGCCTCGAAATTTGACGAACACTTTGATAATTTCTTCTGCAACCTATTTTTGTGAATGTGCTTTCCTTTCAAGAAGTTATTGAGGTGCTCGAAGAGCTGATAGTCGATTGGCACGAGGTACGTCGAATGCAAGAAAAGGCAAAACTTCGAAGCCCAATTTGTCCAACTCTGAAGCGTTCTATGTGTCACGTGTGACTGTCGCCGGCTGTAATCACGCTGTTATTTTTTTGCATCAACTTACGAAGAACCGTATAATGGTCGAAGGCGAGTTCTCTGCAAGGTCTCGCGTTGTTTCAAAAGAATCACCTTCGATGGCCGCTCTTAAGTGTCGCTATCAACTTCCCATGGTCGGTCACTACGCTTCTCATCTTCAAGGCTCAAACCTATTTTACAAAACTTCTTCCACCGCTAAACCGTATGTTGATAGCCGTTTTTTGTGCCATATGCGTTGTTGATGCTGCGAGTCGTTTATGCTGCTTTGCACTCCATTTTAAACTCACTGTTTGGAACCGCATTATTTCTGCATCAACCAACATCCTTTCCGTAGTCTAA